AAAAAAAAGATTGCCCTAATCACAATTAATTTAGGAGTCGAAATGTGCTGGAAAGCGGAATGATGAAACGGAGGAAGTGCCAACAGTGCGAGTTGCATCTGCGAACGACAGCCCATGGCCGGCTTTGACATCCAATCCTGATGCTGGCACCGGTTCTACAACCTCTATTGTCGACGATACACCAGGAATGAATTTTTCCCGGGAAGAACGAGAAGGAACTTTCGAGAAAAAAGATGCAGAACGCAGCTGTGAAATGCAAAGTGTCCCGACTACGGATTCTTCCAAGCTTGTTATGACTGAACCACTGGGAAATAGCCCACGTAATGAAATCTTATCACGAAATGATAGTATGGCTCCCGCAATAGGACATGGGAATGGGCGCGTAGAAACAACGATAGTGAAATTTCCTGACAGCTCTCGAGAGCTTTTGGCTGTTCAAAACCCTGCAGATTCGGCACATTACGGAATTCCCGCTCCAGCAGCAGCTAGTCCGCAGGAAACAATCATCACCGTGGCAAATGATGAGGCATCAGTGAGAGCAAAAAATAATTCTGTTATTGTGGTTAACATTTCCACCAATCCCGTGAGACAGCGGGACAGAGACTTCAGTCAAATCGAGAAAAGTAATGTAGCTGGACAGAGTACTCAACCGCTGAGCGAACGTTTTGCTGTCAAGGACGTATCGCCACAAGTTGCGAAATCGCAGGTCACACCACCGTCTCGTCGCAAAGCCGCCACCAAGTGGCCTCGAAATACTGATGCTGTAGTCCCAGCATCTTCACAATTTTTCGATAATACCTCTCCGCCGCAGGGCGATCACGCTACGGCAGACAAGCCTTTGCTAACAAAACCCCTGAACGGGCAAAGTTTGAGTTTCAGTAGTAGCACTAACTTAACAAAAAACAATGAAGTTCAAAAACTGAGCACTAAAGGCACTGAATTTGTATGTCCTGAGCCCATAGACTCTGGAACAGGTTCAGCGAAATCCAAATGCGACCCAGCAAATGAATCGCAGAAGAATCTGGAGTGGAATAAGTGCAGTTCTGAACAAGATCCAGAGCAACAGATTGATCTGGAACAGAGAGAGGGCACTGCGCGAGAAAGAGTTGCTCCAAATAATGAATCTAAACCAAACACAGTGCCAAAAAATTCACTTCCAAGGACATCGAGCGCTCCAAGAGAAGAATCGCTCATGCGATTAAATGAATCCGGCAGCATTCCTGAAAATAATGATTTTAACGGAGATGCTCGTTTTGAGAGAAAGCAATCGCACCATGGAAACTTGACGTCTGAACGAAGGCAGCTGGACGACGATGCGGAAAGCATACCAAAGGAAGAAAAGTCAACAACCTATAGGTTTTCAAAATCAGGCATCAAAAGCTCCCTGCCTACAGCAGTGCAAAAAAGCTCAATTGATCGAAGACGAGTTACCTTAATGCCGCCGTCTGGAACTTCCACCTCCAGCCATACCGATACCGATGCTGACTTTAAACGGGACCTAAAACAAGTGGCCTCTGCAATCGACACTAAAAAACAAGATTCCGAAGACGAAGACTTGGCGCCAGCTCGACAGCAAGCAGCAGTGACAATGCCTACTGCGGCTAGCACTATCACCAAAAAAAAAT